TGTGAAAAAACTGTTTGTTTTTTGTTTTTTGTTTGTTTGCTTAATTTCTTTTATACATCATTCCAGCTTTATTATAGTACTTGAATAGAACATGTGGCAACGATTAGATAATTCTATTCTTTAAATGATATAAATTTTGTGCATTATGAGTTATAATATGAACGAAATATAATACTGTTAAGTGAATCTAGCTCCAGTGTCGCTATGGTAATCAAATACTAGAGTGAATTTTAAAGAATGCATTTATTCTCTTGCGGTTTATGCGCTGTCGGCGAAGTAGATTTTATTCAATCCAACAAGTTTAAATGAAATGCAAGAAAAAATGCGTATAATTTAATATTCTGTACAAGGAAGTCATGTGGTGTACACATCAGATTTTTTAATTTTAATGTCTTGTTTGTGTTGCTACACATACTTTCGATGCATACTGCAATAAATATCTAAGTGTTGATGAGAAAATCTCAGCTGACATTTTCTTGTTGTTAGAATGTTTTTCTAAGCGAGTAGTATTATGTCCTGGAAGCAATAAATGCGTTGTCTCAACATTTAGCTTAGCAACGAAATTGATAATCGATATGCCATCATATTCTGAGTGCTTATGTTGAGATCATTTTCACAAAAGAACATTGACCGCTTAAATATGTTTCTTAGAAAAAGAAGTTTACAGGTATCATGCTTAGAATTTTGTTTATGTTTCGTTGTTCGCACACAAATTACTTTTAACGATATTTTGAGTTAAGAACTCCATTCACACTGCGTTCAACGTTTTGTAATGCATCTTCTAAGAATATTTTTGAGGTTCTTCTTTATCTTTCCTTAACTTTGTAAATTATATTCAAATGAAGCTTCTTTAATCTAAATTTAAATATGTTGGATTAACGCTAAGTAATATAATATCATAAATTTTTATTCACAAAAATGTCTTTATTATTAATATACTTGTCTAAAGGTTATTCGATGTTTTATTGTTGTTACTTATATTTCTACAAAGAGAAGAATTTTAGATAAATAAAATTAGAATGGACAAGAATCAACTCCCTATGGAAAATTGTTTATAACTTTTTAAATACTTAATTTTCCTGAATCATAAAACATTTTGTTCCTTACAGTGGCAGAATTTATTATATGATATCTTGTTAATGTCATTGCAAGTATCAGTGGCTAACCATGGCGCAAAGTCTAAACTTGCATGAGTGAACTCAGATGGCATTTCGGTACGAAGTACCTCGTTTATTGGTACAAGCACAGAAATGGGGGCGAAGCGTGAAAGGACCTCACGCGTCGGTGGATGCAAAGACTTAAGTAATTGCCATTTGAAGTTAATGGACACAGGTTCTGTATCCAATGCTAGAAGATGCGGTCGCCGCTCCAGTACCCAGGACGTAAAAAAATATGCATATTATTCAGAAAATGTTCATTCGAAAATTTCAGAAATCACAAAGGCAGGCCTCTCGCGAAAGTGGTTTAACCTGACATACAATCCGAACAAAGATCGTACCGGGATGCCAGCTAAGCCCGTTCACCGCAGCATTAGATGTTGAGCCACGGTCCGCCACTGATACCTGCAATGACATAAATGAGATATCGCGTAATAAATTGTAAAGAACAAAATGTTTTTTGCTTCATGAAATTTCGTAAACTATTTAAAAAGTAATAAACAATCTTCAATAGACAGTTACTTCTCGCCCACCCTGTGTGTGTTACCGGTGATGATGAAAAGCCAGCATTCTGATATCGACCATACAATATATACAATATCTGATGTTTTGGGTCAAAATAAGAAATTTCTGAATTATATCAATATAATATTACATACTTTCAACAAAGGCTGTTTAGGCAAAGTATTAAAAAAGATTCTTGAAAAGGCTTTTATTGAGAAGACGTGAATTGTACAGAATGACAAATTCTTACTATGCAAAGTAATGAAAAGAGAGTCATTAGAAGACTTTTATTGAAAGACGTGTAGTAAAGTGAAAGAAACGTGAAATAAAATATAAGGCCTTTCTTTTTGAGGAAAATAAAAGAACAGTCTTGCAATTACTTGTTAGTAGTCATCTTTCTCACATTACTCGCGAAGTTCTGATACGTAGTTTTCGGTTGGGAAAACACTTTTGTTTTCTAGTATTGGTTTGCACTTGAAACAGCTCATCGCAGAAATGTCCTTGATAGCAACGATTCCTTTTCGAAACACTACATTTTGCTCTCCCATTTCCATACAACATAGTATAGACTAAAGGTCTTTCTTGTCTCCTTCTTCCACAGTCATGTGGCATTCAAATATATTTTATGTTTTGCCAGTTTGTCTTTTAAGATTGTATAGAACGTGTAGTAATATTTGAAATATTAAGCCTTACACATTCTAAAATCTACTTTTTGGCGTTTACTACACAATGGGAAAATGTGATAATTTCTAACTGATCTATATAATCTATGTAATTAATTGCTAACTGATCTGTGGTATCCATGTAATAACATAATCTAATATTCGGAATTCTGTAAGTAACATATTTAGAAACAAATTGAGGACACGGCAAATAAAAATATTTCAGCATTTTCAATTATTTCCGAAAGGTATTGATTATTATATAGTCAAATAGTGTTTGCTTTGCCGCCCAGACGGTATAGCGGTTAGGAAAGCCTGACTGCGATACCGAAGGGCCTGAGTTCGAATTCCGGAGAAGGCATGGTTGTAACTGTTCGTCCTTTTCATAGGAGGCGATGGTGGTCCACCTATTAAATACCTTCATAATAAAGAGACTACCCCATCTAGTCTTGTATGGATTAATGGATTCTGTTACATTGTAAATGTTCACAGTCTGCCATTGGAAAAAAATATATATATTGTTTGCTTTGGAAATGTATGCTTGAATGTGTACAGCCTACTAAAAGGGCTTATTGCTATAGGTTATATTACGATTTCGAACTATCTACAACCGTTCTTATCTTTAACCAATTATCACTAAAAGCAAACGGTTACTCTAAAGTGTTGCTAATTACATTATCATATTTCGTACTAGAAACTCAGTTATAGACTAGATCAGGCGTCGACAAACTGTTTTAGCTGCGGGTCAAAACCAATCAAAATGTGCGTAATAAGAAAAAGTTTCGTGTCAGTGTTTTTTTCATTTTAGAACAGTCTTCCTTGGTAAATTTTATTGAGAAAATTATTAGAACACGGTTTAAAATTTAAACATAAAAATTAAAATTAAAATTCTAATTATTATAAAAACAAACATATTTGAATGAATTTCATTTTCCTCTTCAACATCAAGGGCTTTCCTGATGCTGAACTTGTGACGTAAATTTAGTCAAGTCTGGTTTATAATTAGCTCTCTTAAGACAAATACAAACAATTGAAGTTTCGGTAGTTAAGCTGTTCCTGTTCTTACTTAAAATAAATTTCATGTGTGAAAATATTTGTTCGCATTTATAAGTTGAACTGAATGCGGACAAAATGGCAAAGCCAATTTTTTGGAATCATGAATTTCGGGCGGGCGTTGCTAAATTTGTCGATTTCTCTTTGAAATTACGTTATTTTTAAAAATGAACTCTTATGAATTTTTAAAAATACACGTTTATTACTACAACTTTATAAATCAAACAAAAATATTGTTATCATTTATTTTCGGTTTATTTATTTTTTATATTCTTCATGTGCCCGTTTTATATTTATATTTCATAATTTATTTTTATACGTATAATGCATTTTATTTTCGTAATTCAAGTGGGTCACTTGAAATTATGAAATGAATCACTCGGTGACCGGTGGGTCATAGATTGCGGAAGCCTGGATTAGACTATACCTTTTAAAAAATATGACAAAAAGAGAAGGGGGTCAGTTGAATCCAGTTTTGATGCACACAAGTCATTAGGATACATAACAATTCATCTATGACTAGATAGATTGTTTGACTGATTATGGTAAACGTTATTGGTTAAGAGAATGAATGGCTTCATTGTGTATTTTCTAATGGAAACTATTTCATATTCTTATTATACATGGGGAAAGCCATTATATCCCATTCAGGATATTCATTTAGGATAGATTGTTTGACTCATTATGGCAAACGTTATTGATTAAGAGAATAAATGGCTTCATAGTTTAATTTCTAATGGAAACTAATTCATATTCATATTATACATGGGGAAAGCCATTATACCCCATTCAGAAAGCTCATTCGTTAGGAGCCGAACTTCTGTGCATTATGCTTAACGCAAATTAAATTCAATTTTCATAGCTTCTCCGTTATCAGCTTATGTATTTCCTTCTTAAAACTGTGAACTCACATATAGCTAATACATTCTGAATCATACGAAGATGATTACTCTTTGTATCTTAGTAACACACGAATCAAGAATTGTAGAGTAATGCATTTTTTAAATATTAGACTTCTAGTATAAAATACTCGTATACTTGTTTTTCATTAATGCTTAAAATATATTCTCCCTCTTTCCCATGTACCTCCGTAGTAAAACTGCAAAGCACGTCCGGTTTATTTAGTTTCGTGAAAGCCATCATAAAAGTATTCATAGATTTATTGGGGAAATTCAATTACATAGTTAAATTTCTAAATGAAATACATGATTATAGTTATATAAAAGGTAGTGCTTCTATCTAGTTTTCTCAAGGATATCTAAAATATCAAAAGCTTTTACTAGGTGTAAATTTATAAACGGAATTTTTTCTGCATTCAGTAGGAAATTTTCTGTAAGATTTATGTTAGGCAAAACACGCGGGCGTGACAAACAGAAAATATTCAATAAAAGCTTAATCCGTTTACGGATTAAAAGCATAGTCTTCAATAGAAGGAAAAAATTACGGTTGTCAAATTTAGAATATTTTAAATAGTTCGGAAAAGAAGGAAAATAACGAAGCAAATGATAAATCAGTCATTACTTTCTGATATTAGTATTTTTCAAAATATATAATAACATACTCCCGATAAAATTTTAAATAAAAGAAATATAAAATATTTCACCTAAATTTTGAAAGTACTCACCCAGTGATTATTGAACAAATTTGAAGTGCGATGCGGATTTCTATCGTTTGCCAAATCTTCAATCCATCCATGATGGTTGTACTTTTCATTTTCTGCGGCGTGTCTTCTCCTTCTGATCGCTTCCAACTCCAACAAGTCGGAAATGTCATTGATGGCTATGACGTCCTGGTATGGTCTTTCGCTGACCACTGTATCCGTAGAGAAGCTCATATGGCAGGCAAATAAGATATGCTTTTTATGATTAAAGTTTTTCTATTCATCATAATGCTCTTGAAAAAATCCGGACACGAAAGGATTGAAACTATTGAATTAACTACATTCATTCATGACATGTTCACCGACTTTAAAAAAAGGCAATTGCTAAATTCATCTTTGAAATCAGCTATTTTTAGTACATTAGTAAGAGAAACCTTCGAATTTCGGCAATGTTCCATAATAAAGTTATACGCTTAATGTTTCAATCCCAATTAACATAACTCACTCATATAAGGAAAATAGTCCTCCATAATTAATGCTAATGAATATAAAAATTCATCATTTTAGTGAATTTTAAGTTGATGGTGATTATTCAATTTTATGTAATATTCGTTCATGAATGGAGTTTCAATTATCCTGAATGGTTGGCAGAAATGCGCTACGAACGATATTAATAGCTATGTTTTTGCTGGAACTGGAATCGACTGAACCCATAAACAGGATACCTTCAAATGTGAGTACAAGATGGTTTCTTCTTACGGGTGGAAAGAAAACGTCTATTGCATATTTATGAATTTAAAGTATGTTCGCTTGCGGTGCCACTTTTTCATAAACAAACAACTGAGAATAGTCTTTCATGCTAATAATAAACAGAATATTTTGCTTTTTGTTTAGCTTCCAAGCAAAATATTATTTCCTGGAAAGTATGAACAAATATTTACGTTTATATTAGGAAATTAAAAATATTTTCCACCTTTTTCGTAAAAAAGCGAATAAACTAAATTCGATAAAATACATTAATGCTCACTTTGTGGGTTTCCACTGATTCTAGAGTTCCGTGGCTGCACAGAAATCATTTCCCATTTTCATAGATGAGGAACTGCAAACCGTTTCGCACGCTTTTATTTTAAAATAGTTCAAGCTGCAATCATTACATACATTCACAAATTTAACTAAAATAGTGGAGATTATATTCGGGCCTATAAAAGCACATCGCGAACTCTCAACAGTTTTCAAATACAACCGCGTCCTGCTACCACTCAGCCGGACTTCGAGTTGTTCCACTTCTCGCTCACCATGCAGATTGAATTCCGTGTTCATCGTCGTCCGGCATATTCAGCAGGAGGAAAGAGAGGCGGCGAGGAGCCACCTGTCGATGACTGTCACGCGCACCGGCGACTGTCTCTAATATCGATTACTATTCTCCCTTCAACACAGAAATCGAGGAATTGACATAAAATTTCTTTCAAGGTTCTCTTTTCTCTTTTCGTGTTTCCGATTATTCGGATATAGCAGACAGCAATTATTAAGCTTAATACATTTCCCAATCCCTAAAGGTTACGTGATGTAATTTGGAATAAAACAACTTCTTTTATTTTTGCCCCGCTATCTGCTATATGCATTTGTGAGGCAAGTAAAAATATCAGTACCTGTTTTAGCTTCATCTGCTCAGAAAAAGAAAATCACGTAATAGGGGAAAAAATGTTGGCTAATAGTATATCATTAGGAAATTTTTCTTTGACTTACTTGTAAAAGATATATCATTACGTATAATTATAGAAAGGGTTCGATTATATGTACGTGTAAATATATCTATCTAATTCTATCAGTGGGTCATCTTTTCTTTTGCACTTTCTGTGCAATTAGTAAGAATTAAGGGAAATTTCAAGCTAAATGCTTTAACTAATATTTACAAGATGATTTTAAAAAACGTTTCGATTTACTTTCTAAATACATGAGGAAGGCATTTGAGAAAATGCGGCATACTATGGCATCCTCATTAAATGATCCCATATAACTGCTCTTCTCGATTAGCACGTTCTTATAAAGACCATACCGCCCTCATCGGGACGGTATTCAGAAGTGCCAGCTGCCATATCTTAGGGTACAAGCTCAAATCCCAGAGAAAGCATGGATGTTTGCAAATTTGAAGTACCTTCTCAGCATGGACACTTAAAATAACGTCGAGTCAAGTTCGTATCTTAGAAGCTGGTGTTAGGGAAAAAGAGGTAAAAGACCCTTGAATCCTTCCCCATTGATAATCTCCATCAAAATTGAGAAGGAGGTGGACAAGTTATTGGGATTCAGCTACAGTAGGGTGTCCAAGGATTTGGCTAACGAGAGGTGCTTCCTCTTAACCATGAGAAAATTCATATATCTGATCCGATATCTTATCCAAGATTAGGAAAATAAGAAACAACAAGAAACAGCAGCAGAGCAAATCTTAACATTCAAACTAGAGATACATCAAAGTAGAAATCATCCAAGTTTCTGTTTTGCATCCACATTCTTTAATGTCTGCACTAACTGTACCACTGGCATATAATACAGCAAAAGTAAGCGGATGATATTGCGCTGGTCTCTAGGACATTTGTAGAAATGCACTGACACGGCTAAAGATACCACTGCATTTTATATACAATTTCATTTGATAAAAATTAATCTGACGAAAACACATTATTTATCGTAGATACGAACCAGGCTGCCATAAAAAGTCTTCCGCAAAGGTATCCTTACCCATAGGGAGACAGCCCTTTTGATCTTTGCTATATTCAAATAACAAAAATAATCTAACCTAATAAATTATCCAATGTGTTAATAAAATACTGCCTGATTTCTTGGAAGACATAAATATTATTTCTTTAATTTTTCATATTATTTTATCTTAGTTAACCAGTTAATAAATCAGTTTGGATCTCTACTGTTACTTCGTCCTTCTGTTTTCCCTCCAAAATGCAAATTTAGTTCTCGAATATTTATACTGAGGTTTTAGATTATAAAATACAACATGTTCTGCCTCTCGAGGTCACGTTACTAGGTTGCTAGATAAGATAACCTTTGTAGTCTTTGGCCTTGCATTTTAATTTCCGATAGTTGTTATCCACGCCGGTTAAGTTTTGCCAATTTTGGTTTTTGCCAATTGTTTAAGCCAATTTTGCATTAACTGATCTGTGTACCCTTTGGCTAGTAGTATATTTAATTTTAAATTTTGCATTTGAACTTACCTTTACTCTTAAGTTATCTCGCCACCTGTGGTTGTCTGAGATGTAAGCGCAAACTCTTCTCATGTAGTTTTAAATAAAGGGTCTTTTACATACTTCTCAAGTTTCAGTTGTTACTTAAGCGATAATAGTTAGCGTAGCAATAATACGTTGCCAGTCTATCGAAAGTTAAGTTACAATTTATGATTGTCAAGAAGATTTTTAAACTTTGGAAATTGCTGAGAGTTCCATTGATTACTCCTTGAGTTATTAATTGTGAGGCATTTCTCCAGCCTTCTTAGCATGCCTTCAGGGTGTAGTGGTCAGCACGCTCGGCGCGTATTCCAGGGATCAGTGGTTCCAGTCCCGGCGAGGGCATTGCTCATTTTTCCCATCTCTCCTGCTTTAAAAAAATACCTGATGTCTCTAAATAATATACTACAGTAATTTCTAAGATCTTATCCAGTGCAAAACTTTATAAGTTTTGTAAAAAAGAAGGTTTTATAAGTTTCACAATGTAATGTTTCCTATTTCAAAATTTAGAAAAATTGTTAAGCATTAAGTTCAGAATTAATTGCTTAAACACTGGCAATTTGATTTTAAATGCATTTTTCTGTCGGTGCTTCAATTTCAAACTTTTGAACAGCATGAGAGTGACATCAATCCTTTTTTTCTTCAGGTCCTTATAAACAACATTATTACATCAAAATATCAGTTTCAAAATGCAAACGGAATATCAGCTAAAATCTGACATTTTAATGTTCAAAAACTCATCACAGAAAATAAAGTGTACCTAGCAATACAATAATGTCACCTAGTAATACAAACGTTTTTAGATTTGGCATTTCAGTTTTAGATATAAAATATTTTCTTAGAATCTGGAGCTCCGTGAAAGGAAGAAATGTTTATCAGCTATGCAAAACTGCTTATTTCAAAACCGATAAAATCGTTGAACGTAGGTAATTCATTTTTATCTCGTATTTTATTTTCTGAAGAGCTCACTCATTATGTGGTAGTTATCATATTTTCCTCAAAACGCAGTATGAAGATTCTACATTCACTCGCATTTAAGGGTCATATTCAAGCTCATTCAAGTAAAATACACAAAAATGCTGCAGAGTCATTAGGTTAGTTGGAAGCAGAAAAGATGAAAAATATGCAACCGCCTTCGCCGGGAATCGAACCACGGACTTCTGGAATACCGGCCCAGCGTGCTACCGTTACACCACGAAGGCACACTAGAGAAGTGGGAGAAATACCTTATATAGTCCCCTTTTTAAAAGGCGACTAGGGTTTTAGGGAACCTAGTCGAAAAATCCTGGATGCGGAGAATCATCATCTACAATCCTTTTAGATCGGGCGCCACTTGTAGAGTTATTAGGTTGATTGGAAACAGAAAAGATGAAAAATATGCAACCGCCTTCACCAGGAATCGAACCACGGACCTCTGGAATACCGGCCCAGCGTGCTACCGTTATACCACGAAGGCACGCTAGGGAAGTGGGAGAAATGTTTTATAATGTTATTATTGTTCACAAAAAATTGCAGTTGCTTAATTTTGGCCTTTTTTTTTTTTTTTTTTTTTTTTTTTTTGTTATATTGATTCGATTTTTTTAAATTTTGATTTATTGATTCTTTTTTTTTTTTTTTTTTTGGATTTTGATATATATTAGTGTTTTTGATAAAATAAAAATCACTGTTATTATTGCTGTACGCAATATTAGGTTTTGGTAAATGTCTCTCGTGCATCAAAGAAGCGCATTCAAAGTGGATGGAATAACTTAGCAAAAATTGTCCTTGCTGCGTGATGTTATCTAAAGAATACAAAAATTCGTAAGGAAGGAGCTTTAACCTAAATTTTGATCTTTAAAAGTCAGAACAAGAGAGTTAAATACTAAATATGGTCACTTTTGATCATACAGCATTTCCGTTTTCAAAAATTATAATAATTCTTAAATTTGTTTCATATTAGATATGATCCAATGGTTGGACATCAATTCAAGATATTCCAAAATGTTCTTCGTGATATAAATCCACAGATTTTCATGCGCATGTAATGCTTCATGTTTTAGCATGCATATATTATCCTTTATTGTTATTATTATCATTATTTATGTGTTCCGCCCTAACGCACTACACGAAAGAAGCCATCGTAGAGGACTTTCTAAGGGGAACTGGCTCGTATTAACACGTTACGCATGGAGGAAATCACGAAAACGCCCATGCAGCCAGCCCATTCGCGGAATTCCAACCAAACTACCAGTGTTCATTAAAACAGTCAGGGTAAAGTTCAGGAACTTTACCGCTCGGCCGCTGGTGGGCTTTATATATGCAAAAAGTACTAGTCACTGAACTACCTTTCGTGCTCGAAAACAGAATTGCATTAAATAAAAGGATGCGTAGTAAAAAGCACTGAAAGAAAATAAATGCTCTCTCTTTGACATGCACAACTGTTGTTACACTATCATATTTACACTCAGAAATTGATATTAAACTGCATGCATGCTTACCAGAACGTATGGATTTGAAAAGGAAAGAAGAACTGATCTTAAATTATCTAAGAAGACTTGTAGCAAATCTGACAACACGATGAATGATAAATGAAAAACGAAGCCGTTTAAAATTAGTTCTTTTAATTATCGTATCTACAAGTAGAAAGAGCCTTTTTGCGTGACGGAATTTCAGTTGATGAACAGAAAAATATTTTAATACGAAGTAAAGTGATTAGTTCTTCATTAATAAAACATGGGTCGTAATAATAAAGGAAAAGGAACGATTCTCTCTTAAGTAAAAATAGACGGGAAATAGTATTGAAACGTATTAACTGAATATTTTTTTTGCGGTTAATATAAACGCATAAAATTTTAGAATTATCTGTCTTTTGTCAGGAATGGAATCATTTCGTTTGAAATAAAACCAAATGAAGGTTTAGGTAACCTTTTAAGTTGTAAGAATTAAAAGTATTTCTGTCTTGTGCTCTTGTTTTGTAACGATCAGCATAAACTGTTCTTATAAACCATTATAACAACTGCTTTATCCCACATGTAGGAACCAGTCAAAATGGTAGATGATAACTCATCACCATTCGACTATAGACCACAATTCGTCTCCCCAAGTAATTTTAAGTGCGTATTTGGGGGGATAAGAATTTAAATAATAGATTACCAAACGGGGTT